TGCTGCTGCTGCTGCTGCTGCTGCTGCTGCTGCTGCTGCTGCTGCTGTTGCTGCTGCTGCTGCTGCTGCTTGGTGGCTGCTGCGGCAGCTGGGGTCTGTGGTGCAGAGAGGTGGGGTTGGAGCGCATGCAAGGAGCAGCTTTTAAAATAAAATAATTTGTTTTGCTGGTTTGTTTTAATTGCTTTATTTGGTATATTTGTAATTATTAAAACAAAAAAATAAATTTGTTTTTTTCAGGGAGTTGATGACACTTCGAACTTCGACAATTATCCCGAATCCACAGAACAGCCTCCCCCCATAACGGGGACTCTAGACCCTTTCACTTCTTGGTGAGCCCTCTGCAGCAGCAGCAGCAGCAGCAGCTGCTGCTGCTGCTGCTGCTGCAGCAGCAGCAGCGGCTGGGAGTTTGCAAGGGCGCGACAAAGCTGTACGTACACTCAAAGGTCAAGTGAATGCGTTGATGCAAATAAATGACGGAGACAAATGATGGCGCATGCACTGCCGTGCAAGCCTAGCTTCAATTGTTGTTGTCACCCAACTAGTTTTCCTTGTGTTTCCTCGGAAACGAGAAAAAAACAGAGTGGCTTGTTCCAAATCATTTAATCTTCGCAATATTTGACTAAGAGTCCAAACGAGCAGTGCGCAGCAGCCCGCGCGCCAGCTCGTGCAGCTTTCCGTGCAGAAACAGCAGCAGCAGCAGCAGCTGCTGCAGCAGCAAGTCTGGCAGCTCCAGCGCTCCCGTAGGACAAAATAAGCTTTTTAGGACTTTTAATGCAGACTCTGAGACTTAGAGATCCACAATTCCGGAAAATAACTGAAGATTCCTTCTGAACAGAAGCGCGGGAGTGGCGCGGTGCAGAACGGTTCGGGTGTATAGGCAGCTCGGCGGTCCGTTCAAGAAAGCTGCGCGGCCTCCGCCGTCAGTTACATTCTTTCTTCTGCTTTCTTCGACTTGGAATATTAAATTAAAACACTTTTCAAAATTAAAACTCTTCAAAATCAAACACTTTTCAAAATGGTTGGAGGCAATTGCGAGCGAGTTCCGCAGTCGGCGCTGCGCGTCTACAGAAAGCTGGAGGAACACAACCAGCACCACCCCTGGGCAGCCGAGGCTTTCAACGGGCAGCAGATTTGCTTCGACTGCGTCGCTGCTGCGCTGCAGCAGCAGCAGCAGCAGCAGCAGCAGCAACAGCAGCAGCAGCAGCAGCAGCAGCAGCAGCAGCAGCAGCCTTCGGCGGCGAAGTTCCGACTTGTGCAGGAAGTGTGGCAAGTGCTGCAGCAGCTGCCGCAGGCCGCCGCGCTGCGCATTGGCCACTACCTGCTGCACTCCACGGGCTTTCTGGACTCAGTTGTGAGTTTTATTTTTTGAAATATTATTTAAATATTATTTGAAATATTATTTTAAAATATTATTTTAAATATTATTTTAAATATTATATTTAAATATTATTTTGAAATTTTATTTCAAATTCTTTTCCAAATAATATTTCCAAGTTGGAGCTGCTGGCCACTGAGGTGTACATGGACCAGTCCTGCACGGAGACGGAGGCCGCAATGGAGTGGGCAGTTTTATTTTATTTTATTTTTATTTTTATTTTTATTTTTATTTTTATTTTTATTTTTATTTTTATTTTTATTTATTTATTTATTTATTTATTTATTTGTCGCTGCAGCGTCGCCTTGGCTGTGGACGCAGCAGCCCTCAGCTACAGCCCCGAAGAGCAGCAGTACAGCGAAGCTTGCTTAGCAGCAAAGCTGCACAAGTGGCTGCTGCAGAAGCTGCTGGCCCGGGACTCCGCGGCGGTGCCCCAGGCGCTGCAGGTATGCAGAATTCCAAACTCCGCGCAACTTCCATTCAACTGCTGCTGCTGCTGCTGCTGCTGCTGCTGCTGCTGCTGCTGCTGCTGCTGCTGCTGCTGCGCAGGACCCAGAGCTGTGGGGGCACTTGACGGACGGACTGGCTGCTGCAGTGAAGGCTGGGGACGCAGCAGCAAATGTTATTCTTGGGAGTTTCTGCGCAGTGCTGCGAGCAGCAGAAGAGTCTGCTGCAGCAGCAATTGCTGCCAGCTGCGTGGCGAAGGTGGCGCGGGCGCTGCTGCTGCTGCCGCCGACTGCAGCAGCGCTGCTGCAGCTGCTGCAGGCCGTGTCTGGCTGCTTCAGCTGCTGCGAGCTGCTGCAGCAGCAGCAGCAGCACTCGCTGCTGCTGCTGCAGCTGGGGCAGACGTTTCAGGCCGTCTTTGCTTCCGCAGAAGCTCCAGCAAAAGTCCAAGATGCTGCTTTGCTGCTGCTGCAGCAGCTCTTAAGTTCTCTTTCGGAAAATCTCAAACTTCTTTTCATTGAAGACCTTTGCATTGTGGATTGGCTTCTGGAAGCTGTCCGCAACAAAAGACCAGTGGCCCACTCAGTGGTCCAGTGCCTGCAGCAGCACATCTTTTGCTGCTGCTCGTTTCAGCAGCACCACTTCGACGCAGGTAAGCTGCGCTTGCTGCTGCTGCTGCTGCTGCTGCTGCTGCAGCGCCTCGCAGCCTTCAGCAGCTTCCTCTGCATTGCCCGGAAGCAGCAAGACCAGCTCTGGCTGCTGCGCGCGGCGCTGTTGCTGCTGACTTCCAAACCAGTAAGTTTTGCTGCTGCTGCTGCAGCAAAGCAGCAACCAGTGCAGCAAGCTGCTGCAGGACTGGGAGGCCGACGAAAAGAAGCTTGCGGCAGTCACTGGCCTGTGCGCTGCCAGCCTCTTCCGCCCCAGCAGCAGCAGCAGCAGCAGCAGCAGCAGCAGCAGCAGCAGCGCAGACGCGCCGCTGCTGCTGACGGAAATCCGAAAGTCCCTTGAAGAGGGAAGCCGCTGCTGCCCGCAGCTGCACTCGGGGATTAACAAAGAACGAGTTTTGTGCTGCTTCCGCCTGGCCGCAAAGACTTTCTGCGGTGAGTTTGCTGCAGCAGCAGCAGCAGCTGACGGGCTCACTGCAGCAGCAGCAGCAGCAGCGCGCAGCAGCGCGGCCGCGCGGAGCTGCAGAACTGGGAAGACTTTCCACAACTCGTGGCTGCAAATGTAAAATTATTTTCAAATTCAAAAAATAAAAAAAAAACAAAAGCTGCTGCAGACTCCAAGACCTGCAGCAGCTGGCGCGCGGCCTCCGCCCCGCAGTGGTCCACTGGTCACCTGCGGACCGCGGCGAAGTCTTCGAAGGCTTTTCGGAAATTATTTTAAATTTTTTAAAAATGCAAATTAATTTTTCAAAAGTTCGTTTGAGTGCGCAAGAGAGCCAGCGGCTGCGCGGGTACGCGGCGCTGGGGGTGAAGCTGAGCTGCGGCTTCTACTTTGGCTGGAAAGTCCGTTTGAACTCAAAATAAATTCTTTTTTTTTCTTTTTTTTCCCTTTTTTGCTTCATTTTGCGTTTTATTTCAGATGGAATGTCCAGCTGCGAACTGGAAACAGGCCGAGTTCCTCAACGGCGTTTTTCGTGCAGCTTTCGGACCCGCCGCCGCCCCCCGCGCCGCCGACGCGGTCTCGGAGGAAGCCAACCTGTTCGTTGCTGCTGCCAGTGAGCGATCGTCTTGAAATTGTTTTTAAAATCATTTTAAATCATTTTAAATCATTTTAAATCATTTTAAATCATTTTAAATCATTTTTAAATCATTTTAAATCATTTTTATATCATTTAAAACATTTTCAGTTCGAAAAAACCTGATCGGGCAAGTCCAGTTTCGCCCCTTCGCTCCGCAAACTGCTGCACATCTGCAGCAACAGAAACTTGCTGAGTCTCTCTCTCAGCCGCGCAGCAGCAGCAACCGACTCCGCCCCCGCTGCAGCAGCAGCAGCAGCAGCAGCAGCAGCAGCAGCAGCAGCAGCAGCAGCAGCAGCAGCAGCAGCAGGAGCGGAGTATTCTTTTGCAATTTATTTAATAAAAATGCTTTTGAGCTGCGGAAGTCCCGAAGAAGAAGAGCCCCTGGACTGCGACGTGGGCGCGGGCGTTTGCGAGCTGGCGGCGCTCGCGGGCAGCCTGCGGCGCTCGGCGGTGGACTTCAACCTCGTAAAGTCTTTTTTTGTTTTTATTTTAATTTTATTTTATTTTTATTTTATTTTTTTATTTTAAAAATACTTTTTATTCTTTAGACTCTCAACAGCTGCTGCGTGGCTGCTGCTCTCCTCTTCCTCGCCTGCCCGTGAGTCGCCTTGCTGCAGCAGCAGCAGCAGCAGCAGCAGCAGCAGCAGCAGCTGATCCGCCACTGTCTGCTTCAGTTCTCAACTCGAAGACTCTCCTGCAGTTCTAAAAGCGTAAATTTAATTCAAAAAAATTAAATTTTGGAAGGGCGAAATGTTGCACAGCGAAGTCAACAAACTGTTCACCAACGCGGGGGTGTTTCCCGCGCCCTGCATAAACCCTAAACCCTAAACCCTAAACCCTAAACCCTAAACCCTAAACCCTAAACCCTAAACCCTAAACCCCCCTAAACCCTAAACCCTAAACCCTAAACCCTAAACCCTAAAACCCTAAACCCTAAACCCTAAACCCTAAATAATCCCAATACTGCCTCGGGCGGTTTACGTTCGCGTCCGCGTAGTACCGCGCCACGTTTGGCTGCGCTGTCTTCCAAACTGCCCCTCGTGAAGCGCCACCTGGAGGCCTTCGCAGTCACTATTCTCGCAGTGGTCTAAACCCTAAACCCTAAACCCTAAACCCTAAACCCTAAAACCCTAAACCCTAAACCCTAAACCCTAAAGAAGGGCGAAATGTTGCACAGCGAAGTCAACAAACTGTTCACCAACGCGGGGGTGTTTCCCGCGCCCTGCATAAACCCTAAACCCTAAACCCTAAACCCTAAACCCTAAACCCTAAACCCTAAACCCTAAACCCTAAACCCCCACCCTAAACCCTAAACCCTAAACCCTAAACCCTAAACCCTAAACCCTAAACCCTAAACCCTAAACCCTAATTCAAAAATTCATTTTGGAGCCGCAGAGCCGCCGCCTGCGTTCACAAACTCTTCAAAGACGCGCCCGCGGCTTCTTTGGTGGGTCTGCCTGCAGCCGACTTTTCTTTTTCTTTTTTTTTTTTAATTTAATTCTTTTTTCTTTTTCTTTTTTTTTTAAATTTAATTCTTTTTTCTTTTTCTTTTTCTTTTCTTTAATTTAATTCTTTTTTTCTTTTTCTTTTTCTTTTCTTGAATTCAATTCTGTTTTTCTTTCTTTTTCTTGAATTCAACTCTGTTTTTCTTTCTTTTCTTGAATTCAATTCTGTTTTTCTTTTTCTTTTCTTCAATTTAATTCTTTTTTCTTTCTTTTTCTTCAATTCAATTCTATTTTTCTTTCTTTTTCTTCAATTCAATTCTATTTTTCTTTCTTTTTCTTCAATTCCTCAATTAAACTCCCCATTCCTGTTACTGGCCCTCGCCGCAGCAGCTGCCGCCGCGCCCGGCGCTGCTGCTGCTGGGCGCCGTGTGGAGCAGCAGCAGCTTTTGCTGCTACAGAGCAGCAGCGCTGCAGCAGTTTGCTGCAGTTTGCTGCAGCACGAGTTTTCGGGAGTGGCGGGGGTGGAGCAGCGGGCCGTTTCAGCAGCAAGTGCGGCAGGTGGGGCGTTCTTGCTTGTTGCTGCAGCTCCCTGCTTCACGCCGCTGCTGCTGCTGCTGCTGCTGCTGCTGCTGCTGCTGCTGCAGACGCTCAGCTGCTTCTTTGCTGCTGCGGAGGCCTCCGCAGCGCGGGGCCAAAGCCCCCCAGGACTCAGCAGCAGCATTTCCCAAATGGTCCACTTCGACTTGCTGCTGGCTGCCGACAGTTTGCTGCCTTTGTTTGCGCACGAGGGCTGCAGCAAGTTCCCAGTGAGTCCAGTGGTCCGCTGCTGCTGCTGCAGTGGACCAGTGGTCACGTTGCTGCGCCTCTTGCTGCTGCTGCTGCTGCAGTGGACCAGTGGTCACGCTGGCTGCACCTCCTGCTGCTGCTGCTGCTGCTGCGTTTTGCTGGTGCTGCTGCTTTTGCGTTTGCTGCTGCTTCTGCACGCGTTGTGTCTGCTGCTGCTGCTGCTGCTTGCTGCAGGCGCTGCTGCATCTGCTGCCTGCTGCAGGCGCTGCTGCAGCTGGTCTTTGCTGCGGAAGCCAGCAGCAGCAGCTGGCAGCCAACTTCCATCAGTTGGATTCTTTCCCAAGTCCTCAAAGGATCTTCTTTTGACTTTTGCTGCTGCTCCGAGGCTTTGCTGCTGCTGCTCGCCCGCAGCGTGGCAGCAGGGCTCGAGCTCTCCGCCCCTGCTGCTGCAGCAGCAGCAGCGCCAGCAGCAGCAGCAGCAGCAGCAGCAGCAGCAGCAGCAGCAGAAGCAGCAGCTAACGCCACTGTGGCTGCCCAGGTAGGACAAAGTCTTGGGGCTGCATGCACGCGGGGCTGCATGCAGCCCCGCGTGTGTTTGCATTTTATTTTATTTATTTTTATTTATTTATTTATTTATTTAATTTATTTTTATTTTTAATTTTAATTTTTCTTTTTCTAATTAAATAACCCGCAGGCCCTTTCTCTCTACTTGAGGAGTCCTCAGCCTTTGCCAAAAGGAACTCCGCTGCGGATTTCAATTCGGCTGCACCAACTGGCTGGCATTGTTGCTGCTGCTGCTGCTGCTGCTGCTGCTGCTGCTGCAGTGAGTTTTTTGTCTTTTATTTTAATTTAAATTGATTTATTCTTTTTATTTTAATTTTAAATTAAGTTGTTCTTGTGTCCTTTATTCTTAACTTTAAATTAATCTGTTATTTCGTCTTTTATTAATTTTAAATTAATTTATTTTTGCTTTTCCCAACAGCCCCTCGCTGCGGACTTCCTCGCCGTGCTGCTGCAGTTCCTGTTCGTCTGCGTGGACGCAGCAGAAGCAAGAGGTACTGCAGCAGCAGCAGCAAGCAGCGCATGCATGCATGCATGCATGCATGCATGCATGCATGCATGCATGCATGCGTGCATGCATGCATGCATGCATGCATGGGGGAGCGCATGCAGCAATTAATTATTTCGTTTGCAGCTCTGCACTCTCTGCGCTGTTCTGGGAATCTCCTGAAGCTGCTGAGGAGAAGCCTGGGGGGCCCCACAGAGGGCAAATCTGCTGCTGCTGCAGCAGCAGCAGCAGCAGCAGATTTGCCGGCGTTGGCTTTGTGTGCCATTTCGCTGCTGCTGCTGCCGGTTGAGGTGAGCGCGAGCTGCTGCAGCAGCTGCCGCTGCTGCTGCTGCCGCTGCTGCTGCTGCTGCCGCTGCTGCAGCTGCCGCTGCTGCTGCTGCTGCTGCTGCTGCACAGAGCAACAGGAGCGAAGCTCAAGAGTGGTCTTATTGCTGCTGCTGCAGGAACAGGCAGAGGCAGCTCCCGAGCCGCTGCTGCTGCTGGCTTTGAATCCTCTCAGCGCGAATTTAAATGAAGAAAAAAATAATTCAAAAAGTGCAAATTTAAAAGAAGAAAAAAATAATTCAAAAAACAAAAAAGAAATAAATGCAAAGTCCTACTTGGCTTTGATGGGCCACGCAGAAGCAGCTGTTCGCGCTGCTGCTTGTTTGCTGCTGGCCACCACGCTGACCCAGCAGGTGCGAATAAATCCGTCTTTATTTATTTTTATTTATTTATTTATTTATTTATTTATTATTTATTTATTTATTTATTTATTTATTTATTTGTTTTTATTTATTTGCTTTTTGCAGATCGGGAGCCTCCGGGACGCGGAGGTGGCGCAGCTGCTGGCGGGGTGTATCGACAGTTCCTTCGCCGTAAGCGGCGCTTTCGACGGAGATTTCAAATCATTTTATTTTCATTTATATTTATATTTATATTTACATTTACATTTATATTTATATTTATATTTATATTTATATTTTTATTTTTGTTTTTTCTTTAGAGCAGCAAAGACTGCCACGCAGATGCAGCAATTCTGGCCATTTGCTCGCTGGCCACTTGCGGCGCAATTGCCCCTTTGCTGCGCTGCTGTTTGCTGTCAACCACTTTTTCGCTGCTGCCGCTCTGCAACAAGTACATTACCCCTGCGCCCCAGCAGCAGCAGCAGCAGCAGCAGCAGCAGCAGCAGCAGCAGCAGACAGCAGCAGCAGCAGCAGCAGCAGCAGCAGCAGCAGCGTGCCTCAGCAGAGGACCCCGCGCGTTGTTTGCAGCCATCGTAAGTGCTGCTGCTGCTCTTTTCTTTTGATTTCCTTTTCCACTCTTCGGACTTCTGCTGCTGCTGCTGCTGCTGCTGCTGCTGCAGCTCTTCAGATTAAATCCAATTTGGTTTAATGCAGCATTTCTCAGCAGCAAAGAGGTGAGAAGCAATTCCCCATTTTAAAGAAAAGTTTTAAAGTCTTTTTCTTTTATTTGTTTTTCTTTCGATTGCTCTCATTTGTTTTAATTTATTATTCCTCTTCAGGTGCTCAGTGCTGCTGCAGCAGCAGCTGCAGATCCTGCTGCTGCTGCTTCTTCCCGGGCAGCAGCTTTGCTGCTGCTGCGGACTTTGAGGGGCTCTGAGGAGCCTGCGGGGCTCGCCTGCGGTGTACGTACACCTCAAAATGGCCCACAGACCCTCCGCAGCGAAACTGCTGCTGCAGCAGCAGCAGCAGCAGCAGCAGCAGCAGCTCGCGGCCAGAGCCCTCCCCGCACCTTCTTTCCGCTAGTTCCTGCTGCTGCTGCAGCAGACACAACAGCAGCAGCAGTTACAGAGACGATGGAGAGGCTCTTGGCTGCTGTATTGGGGAGCGTCAGCAGCAGCAGCAGCAGCAGCAGTCCCACAGCCGCAGCAGCAGCAGCAGCAGCAGCAGCAGCAGAATCCCCCAGTGCAGACGCGTGCACAGATGCATGCGCTGGAGGGGAAGCCTGGTCATGGACCAATGGACCATCTGGCAGATCTTTGCAGAACTAAAACAAATAAAATAATTTAATTGTTTTATTTTATTATTTTATTTCATTTAAATGTTCTTCTGCAGCACTAGAAGCAAATGCTGCTGTCTGCTGCAGCAGCAGCAAACAGCAGCAGCACACAGGCAATGGGCGCGCCGCAGTTCGGCTTTAGCTGCCTCAGCAGCGCCTTGCTGCTGCTGCTGCGTCAGCACCACTTTGCTGCTGCTGCTGCTGCTGCTGCTGCATCAGCACCACTTTGCTGCTGCTGTTGCTGCTGCTGCTGCTGCTGCTGCTAGGGAAAGCTGCTGCCAGAGAGTCCCTTAGTCACGGTATTCTAAAGAGCTGCTGCTTCCTCTTGCTGCTGCAGCTGCGTTCGCTGCGAGGAGCTGCTGCTGCAGTGCTGCAGCGCTTTGCTGCAGCAGCGCTGCTGCAGCAGTTCGCAGCAGCAGCGCTGCTGCAGCAAACAGCCCCGCAGCAGCGCATGCAGCGAAGTTTGCTGCTGCAGCAAACAACGAAGTTTGCTGCTGCAGCAAACTTCGTTGTTTGCTGCTGCAGCAAACAACGAAGTTTGCTGCTGCAGCAAACAACGAAGTTTGCTGCTGCAACAAACAAAGAAAGGCAGCAAATAAAAACGCATGCATTTCTGCATGCGGCCCTCACGGCTGGCCGTGGGGCTGTCTGCGGGGGTTTAAAGCGAAAGAGCGAAAGTCGGGCGGAGCAGCAGCAGCAGCAGCAGCAGCTGCTGCTGCTGCTGCTGCTGCTGCTGCTGCTGCTGCTGGCTGCCCCGAGAACGCGTTGGGCACGTAAGCCGCAAAGCCTCTGCTGCCAGCAGCAAACACTTGTGGGTACGCGGGGGGGGCCCCCTGCGGCAGTGCCCACGTGGGGGGGCCCCCTGGGGGCCCCTGGGGCCCCACAAACCCTAGGGGGGCCCCCTGGGGGGCCCCCTGGGGGGCCCCCTGGGGGGCCCCCTGGGGGCCCCCCTGGGGGGCCCCCTGGGGGGCCCCCTGGGGGCCCCCGTAGAAGACAGAAGGCGCAGCCACGAGGGGGGGCTCGCTGCAGTGTACAGACACCCCGTGAGCCGCGTGCGGCAGCGCATGCATGTGGGCGGGGGGCCCCTGCTGCAGCTGCTGCAGCTGCTGCAGCTGCTGCAGCTGCTGTAGCTGCTGCAGCTGCTGCAGCTGCTGCAGCTGCTGCAGCTGCTGCAGCTGCTGCAGCTTTGCTGCAGAATAAACAATTGGCTGGTCTGCGGGGGGGTGGTAGTGGAGAGCAGCACTTCTCTGTCTTTGCTGTTCTTCCTCCAAGTCCTCAGCATAAGAGGTGAAGTGCATGCGGTCGCAACTGCCTGCTGCTGCTGCTGCTGCTGCTGCAGCAGCAGCAGCAGCAGCAGCAGCAGCAGCTTCTGCAGCAGCTTCCTGGCGGTCCCCCCGCGGCCGCCCACTGGCCGCGTACAGCTCGCCGTAGGGATGGCCGTAGGGCGGCCAGTAGTACCCTTGGGGCCCCTGGGGGCCCCCCGGGGGCCCCTGGGGGCCCCCGGGGGGCCCCCGGGGGGCCCCCGGGGGCCCCTGGGGGCCCCCCGGGGGCCCCTGGGGGCCCCCCAGGGGCCCCTGCGAGCCGCAGGGAGTGGAGGGGGGGAAGGGCCAGTAGAGGGCCTCCTGGGCCTCGCGGACTCTGCCGAATTTCCGCTTTTGAACTTCTCGAAAACTCTCAAACTCCGACTCCGACTCTGTCGCCAAAAAGGAAGTTCTTTCCGGCCCCTCGGGGCCTCCGCTCTCCCCCCCAACTCCCCCCCCGAACTCCCCCGGGGCCCCCAGGGGGGCCCCCAGGGGGGGCCCCCCGGGGGCCCCCCCGGGGGCCCCCCCCGGGGGGCCCCC